GTCTGAACACAATGGCATTCGACAAACGATAAATGAGACAACACATGGACACAATCAATTACCCACGAACTGCGCAACGCGATCAATTCAAAGCACATCAAGGTGGCTCCAAACACATCAAGTCGACTCCAAACACATCAACTATACCCTGAACTCCAAAAACATCAAGTCGACTTGCGTCTGAACCCATCCCGCCTGATCTGTGTACGCCAGCGGCCGTTGTGGCAACAGGGCCTCACACGCACAAACTGTCATATAGTCCAAAATGAAGTACACAAAATGTCGCTCCACAAAGCAATGTCTTTATCTTTCAGATTCCTGATCTTAGCCAAGTGTGATGTCTGGTTCCATACGTTGATAGTCATCTAACTCCGCTGTCAATCAAACTATGATGCTCCAAACATGCTCTATAAGTATCAGCATTATATAGCAAAACGCTCGCAACGCGTCAGTTCAAACAGTGATTGTTTAGGAAAAGGTCCATGTGAAGCAACATCACTCCTTTTTTGTCCGCACGAGGAAGAGGCTACATTCGCCAGGAGCAGCTCCCACAGGCTGCATTCGCCAGGTACCGAACGGGGCCAGGAGCAAGCTCCAATCGGCACCAGGCTTTGCAAGCCAGGGGAACTCCTATCCGGCCTATATAGGAGCTACTCCGGGACAAACGTTGCTGGGAACTGGGAGATTGGATCATCGACAGCCGTTGAAGATGTCCCTGTTTGCCCCAAGACCAAAGTTTCATCACTCCCACCCAACCGAATCCGGCGCCGTTTGGCAAAGGAGTCATGGTCTTCTGCGGACTCCATGGAGCGCTTGTCCGGCGGTGGGCCCATCCATGGGTCCGGCATCTCCAAGATCTGCCACAGCGTGACCTCTAGGTCTTCAACTTGCTTCATCGCCACCTTCAAAAGGCAAATGGCTTCGGCCATAATAGCCATCACCTTGACCTTCTGGTCATACGATATGGTTGAAGGTGCAAAGTCCATGGTGGGAAACCCGTGGAACTCACTGTGCCTACCCTACTCAACACGGCTTCGGTTGAAGGTTCCATGTCCATGGTGGGAAACACGTTTGTCCGAACAATTTGCGATGGCGTTGTAGTTACATACATCAACATGTTCCATCAAGCTTAGTGCACAACATTCTCACAAGCAAACCAACTTAGTGCACAACAGTCTCACACGCCAACAGGCTTTCTCAAAGTCAAACAAACTTAGTGCACAACAGTCTCACACTCCAACAGGCTTTCTCAAAGTCAAACAGACTTAGCGCGCACCAGTCTCACTCTCCAACACTGTTTCGTGCCATTGGCGCAGGGAGCAGCCTGTCATTAGGCACCAAGAGAAGCAGCGCCAGGCTCAGAGGGTTGCTCTGGATCATCCTGACTAGCCTGACTAGGTCTCTTCTTTAATTTGCGTCGTTTCCTTTTCGGCGACGCAGCTACACAGCCTTCACCTTTGCTCTTCTTTTCAATCTTCTTTTCAGCAGGCGGCGAGTGCTGGAGCGCCGCGAAAACATACCGGAGGTTCGCCTCTGTCAGCTCGACATGCACCTCTTTGGCTTTTACACTCCAAAGCATCCTGCACTCCAGCGGCCCAAAGACTTCGTTGTCGTGCTCAAACTCCGGCAGAGACACTACAACATCTCGGCTGACGATGAACTTGTCATCTTCCCTGGCCGGTCGAAGCTTTGGTTGGGGCTCCCCTTCCTGCGCGCCGGAGAGGATATGCTTGCGCAAGAGGGCTGTGCAGGCATCATGTCCTAGGTTTCCAAACTATTCCAAACTATGTGTGTTCCATATAAGTTGGTGTCAAAACACTGCATGTTGCAACATCCTTTCAAAGATGGGTGAAAAAGGTGCTGAAACAAACAATGAAGGTCTCAATTGTCTAGTAGCCGCCCACCATTGGACATCCAATCCCCATGCTCTTCTTTTGGCATGTCTGTTCATGCCTTTGCCAGTGATGACCTTGACCAATTGGGGATCAAATCGCGAAAGGATGGCATAGGTTTTGCCCTCAAACTCATGGGTTTCTGGAAACCACCTGAGCTTACCCAAGCACTCGGGTCACACGGTCGATGGACAGCTGGACTGGGCCTTCATCATCGTCATCATCATCATCCCTGGCGTCCTGTAAGGCAGAGTCATCCATGACACTGCAGCCAGTGGCCTATAGTGACTCCCTGCAGGCAAGCAAGCCTACAAACGGCCACTGCAGTCTGTGGCAAGGAATAACTACAATAGGCACGCAAGCCCATCTACAAATGGCCACTGCAGCCAGTGGCCAGGAGTAACTCCCTACAGGCACAAACGGCTACGGCAGCCAGTGGGCATGGACTGACTCCTATATATACAAGGCAACGACAAACTGGAAAACTGTTGAAGCCACGTTGTTGGACGCGCCCAGTACACTGCGTTTTTGTCGTGTGTTGCTCTCCTGCAGTTCATCATGCCAGCCCATATATATATATACTGTATATATCCATGTTCTCCGTGCCAGGAGCATTACGAAATATATATACATGTTTCAATATTCTAATTTGCCAGGAGCAACTCCGTCACACAGTTCGAAGGTTGAAACGATACACAATACAAAAGGTGTGATGCATGTGGTCTCGAGCTGGCACTACCCTGCATTCAGCTTCAAAGTGTGTGGCTGGGCCACGGATCGTACTGAGAAGTTCACACGGAGGGGCGCCTGCAGGGACTAAAACCACCAAAGTTTCATTCCTTTCAGGTACCGGGAGCAACTCCCGCAGATAGCGTCGAGGAATGAAACAGAAAAACCAAATAAACGTAAACATGTCTGAACATGTCTGAGCTGTATGATGAGTCCCCTGTGCGGCGCCCCCCTCAGTGGCGAATTCTTTTCGCGGGTCGCTCTCTCAGTGGCTCCGCATCTACAGTCAGGTTCTTTTTGGCCGCGTAGACGAAGAGCTCATCGCCATTCTTCAATGACGTCATGTTGCGGAGCTGTGGCAAACTGATTGGCTTGTCCAAAGCCAACGTCCGCTTCTTCATGTCATCGACGCTCGGCCAGACCTGTTGGGTTTGTAATTGCATGGACTATAGGTTCACCTCGTCGTTCCATCACATTTCTTGGCTCAAGAGTATATGGAAATGTATTGAACATGATCGTAAATCACTCTAGTGATAGTGGTATCGTTTGATTGTGGTTTGTTTATAACTATTACCTGTTAATGTATACCAATGCCATATATGCGTAAATTCCAGATCAAAGGTTCACGACTTCAAACCTGCTCGCCTCCATGTTCGCATCATCTGATTCGGAAGTGCGGGGAATGAACCAAAAGGGACATTGGAATCCCTCACCAGGAAGCTTGCCTACTTTGTTCATGCCTGTGAGCACCACTGACATATGGTCAAAAATGCCGATCACCAAACGGTCATCCGTCACCTTCGTGGCTTCTATGAACTGTACGCGGGAGGTGACGCATGGGATCACAAGCTTCTTCTGGCCGAAGGTGCTGGTGACCGTGACAGCCTTGGGATGAGCCCACAATTGGAGAGTCTCGAAGTTCTTGTGCTTTTCCATTTGCTCCGCCATTGCACGGCAGACTGCCGCCTTCATCGCCATCAGCCTGAACTCAGCGCATCTCAGCGGCGAATCTGGCAGCCAATGGACCTCCTCTTGTTGCTTGGGGACATGAGCGATCTTCCACTCATTCTGCACGAACGATGACGAGTTCACCCAGACGTTCGTCTTGGTGGGCTCTTCCATCCGCAGCTCAACTTCACCTTCACTGATGCTGCGAATGATGCCCACTTGGTCATGCCTTTCTACCTTCTGACCGACGGCAAAACCAAGCCCCTTGATCACTTCTACGGCGTTGGTCATGCGCCCTGAGTCATCATAGGTTCTAAAGACTTCAGCTTTCTTCGCTGCAGTGCTGGGGGTCGCGGTTGTGGCATCCTTCGCGACCCATTCGCTTGGGATGGTGATCCC